AGATTCCATTAAAGTGTAAGGACCAGGGTACTTTCTTTATTCCTTACTCCATTCACACCATGAACAAAGATAAAGGATTAGCCAACTTATGATCCAACATAAATGTGATGTCCTTTCAATTGTTTAAGCAACTTAATTAGGTGAACCTTGTCATAATACAATATCTATTTAATAAGCCGATCTTTACATAGTTCATCATGTGCTTGTATTTAAGGGTCTCTTAGTAAGAGTGAGAAAGTTTGCCTTTTCTGTTGACTTTGCGATGTTAGATTTTGAAGAAAATGACAATACACCACTCACTAGAAAGACGGTTTCGAGGACAAAGCTCCAATGATCCTCCATCGGAGCAAGTGGTTCCACCTCTCAATCCACAATACCAACGAAGATGTTGGAATACTTGGGATCAAGGAAAACAAGATGAGCCCCAACCAAAATTACAACAGGAGCAACATCAAGGTGCTCGACAAGGAAAGTCGATAGTGCAAGTGACAAGGGCTTCAGCACCCTTTCTTCGATGTCATCCCCATCCATCACGTGGGACTATATACTCGGATCCTCGACTTCCCAGTGGGTGAATGCCTCTCTTGGCCTATCTTTCACCAATTGGGAGTCGAGGAGATTATCCGGGAGAGGATAGGGAAGGATGAGTGAATCATGCTCTTAGAGATTTAGGAGCTGGCCTACCGTGTCCTTTTGTTCAAGTTCATGAGCACCATCGAAATCAAATATATTCGAGCCATTGTCAATAAATGTTCCAACATTTCAATTTAGCGGTGTGGAGCGAGCAATGACAATTGAGAGTTCCCAATGGGTATTAGACATCTATCCGTCAAGGTTCGTGGATTCTCCCTAATTTGACTCACTTCTACTCAAGCATCTCACTCTGACCATGGAGACTTTTATGCAAGAAACCTCAAGGAACAAGGAGCTTGAAGATGGAATGTGAAGGTTTCTATGGTAAGATAGTTAAAGTCGGGGTGGAGGCTTATATACCACGTCATTGCGAGATTCGTGGGTGGAAGGTATGGTATGAAGGGAAATATTTCAGCCCGAGACGTGGGACTTATGTGGAGCATGATGGGCGAGTCAGATCTTCAACTTGGTGTCTCGCTCTCAATAATTACTTGAAGACCCTCAAGAATAATAAGCTTGGAGTTTGGGGAGTATGTGGTCATCCTTTTTCGGCCACCAACAATATTGTGATGAATGGCGAGGAGATCTCCCTCCTACTTACACCACCAAGAAGAGCTTCACAAGTGGTCAACAGGAACCCAAGGATGAAGCATAAGTTCCAAGCCACAATCTTCCATTCCTACCAAGTTCTTCATCCACCACCTCAAGCATCAAACCCATTGGGTTTGATCGACATAGAGGTGAGAGCTCGCTTAGGCGTCGTGGAAAGGATCTCCTACATAATCAAGAAGAATATTCAGTGGGAGGCCGAGATGAGGCACCACATGATCGCTTGCGACCACACTATCACAATAAAGCACAAAATTCCATTGGAGGACATCATACCTCCATATGTGAACATTCCTCCTTATGAGCCATTCACGACTATGGAGCCCGAGCCTTCATTCGAGAACGAGTCCGAAGGGTGATTTAATAGCAAGAAAGGGTGCATTCTCTATCTTTTCTTTTATTTCTTTTTTATGCAGACTATAAACAACATTGTTTTTCTTTTGATTATGTACTTAGACAATGTTTGTAATAACTAGTACTTGCGTATGCTTGTGCGTGTGTGTGTGTGTATTAGAGTAATGTTGCCTATCTCTTGCGAGTGTTTGCTTGTGCCTCTTAGATTGACTTTGAAGACCTACTCATGACTCAACCCACCCACCCAACCCTCGCCAATGTTAAAATTCATGAACCTCTCTTAAACTCCACACATTCAAGAAAATGTGTATCTTAAGTGTGGGGGAGGGTTTTTAAGTTTCAACAACCCCAAAAGACACACAAAAAAGAATAAAGGTTGTTGGGAAAGTGAGAAAGAGAACTGTTAGAACAATTATTTCTCATGCCTACATTGAGAACCCAAGTTTGCGCATTGCACCTACTTCCTTCACTTGAGAACATTTCGTCCAAGATTTCGTCCAGAATGAAATGTGGTTGAGACATCTCTAGTGACTTGTGTTCTACCTTCGAAAATTTACATTAAGTGAGGGGGTTTAGAGGCTTCACATCGCTTGTTTTGATCACATATTTGTTTAGGCACAAGAAAACGCTTATGTGAGGGGATTTTATCTGCCTTCCATTTCTAGGTGTTTTCATGAAATTTTGAGCGTAATTGAACCCTAAATTGCTGCACTTTAGTCTAGGAATATTTTGTATTTGACACAGACAGGTTTTAGGCATACATTGCAAGGGTTTAGGAGAGTTCAGAACGAAGTTGGGCAACAAGTGTATGGGAAGCTGATATTGGAGACCTCAGGACCAAATATTAAGGGTGGGATATCCTCTCCATCAACATGGCCGGTCCATCTCCCCTGTATAATTGGCCAGTTTTGAAGTCAAAAGAGGAGATCCAATTTTCAAATTCTGGGTTACTTTGGAAGAGGAGCTAGGAGAAGAAGGAGAGCTATCTTGGAGCTTTAAAGTTGAGTTTCCATAAAATTGGAGCTGCCAAGATGTAGATTTCCCCTTCATTTTCTAGTGTTCTTCTTCTCCCTTTCATGGGGTGATTCTTTTGTACACGAGTCAATTGAACCCTTGCTCATGTAGGTGATACCGTGATAGAATATATATAGATAAAACGATCTTGTACGAACCCTGTTCAATATTTAAGTTTTGATTATGCTCATCTCTTACTTTAATTAAATGATTGATTGCTTTGTTCTTTACACAAGTTAGTGACCATCTAATTAGGTCAAGACTAGAACTCATATAAAGTAGTATGGAATTTCAATTGCATGACCGTAAAATTGAAGTTTCATTTGCAATTGGGTTTGCAACAATTTAAGAATCTAGATCTGATGCTCTAGAGGTTAGTTGGTTGGTTGACAATTGAACCAAGTTGCTACATAGAAGTACATTTAAGTGCATGAACATTGACTTAGATGTTAGTCTATGGTATTTTTGCATCATAACAAACTAGGGGGATTGCATAGATATTTCATGCCATTAGTCACTTACTATATCTAGGGGGATATCAATCCCGAGTACCTCATTCCTCTTGAAGATTATACTTAAGTTCCAATTTAGTTCGCCTGTTGATTGGAAGAAATCTCTACCCAATTGGTCGGTTATATGGTAGCAAAACTTTGAAGTAGCAATAGATCTGGTGGCCCATGGGAATATGAGCTTGAAGGTTAACCCTATGCTACAACACTCAGTCGAGACATACTTGTCTTGATTAAGTGTAGTAGCGTAATTAGATCATCGAGTTATTTACAACTAGGTATTTAGGGTGTGTTACTTGTAGTAAGATATTTGATATTTTCATGTTGTTAACCCATCGGTTTTTATAGGACACCATATAGTATGTAGCATGGAGGATACGAGACAGAGAGCTGACTAATGATGATAGGAGGGAGCTCCTTGATATGTTGTACTCAGTATCTACTGCAATAGGATTGTACAATCATTTCCATCCGGATGTCTCAGCAGACATCCAGCCACTACCTTCGTCTTAGATTTGCATGATGGTTAGAGCTCACTAATCTGAGGTCATCTTGCTTACATGACAGGGTCATAGTTCACATAAGATAGCAGGATGCACAAGCATCTATGATGAGCGCGACGTGCCTCACCCACTGAGGATTTCTCTCTTACATTCGCCACGACCAGATCGACCTAGTACCAACATGTTGTCACACCAGTAATAGTTTTGACCACCTCTCCCATCAAGCCCCAGCACTAGTCATTGTTAGGATATGACTTGAATTTGATTTGGGTTTGTCTTGTGTTTGGGCCTATTTTGTTTGGGTTTGTGTTTTGGGTTTGTTTTTACTTTTTCCTTGTATGTTTAGAAAAAGTGTTTGGTTTTCTATTTGAGATTAGGAGAAGAGTTCTATAAATACTCTTCATCACCCTAATATGTTGTTAGGTCAGTCAGGTTAGTTTGTTTGGTTTGTTCGTTCCGGAATTTGGTTCGTAACATGTACTCTCCTCAAATTAGTGAAATTTGTTCTCCCCTGGCCGTGGATTAGCTAGCACATATTGTGTTAGTGAACCATATTAAATTTGTGTTGATTTTGATTATCGCTTACACTCTTATGTTATGACAGTCGTACCGAGTAGTGCCTCCTTTGAATTTTCACCCTAGACATATTGGACCGGACCAAAGCGGAGTAAATGCAATGATGATCCGATACTTGGTCCTAATATTTTTTAATATTGGTTGCAAACCTATACAAGTGTTATAAACTTATAATCACTAAAATTACAATATAGTATTATTAATAAAATGTTATTATAATTTTAAATTGAAAATAATTGATGTCACCTCAATATCATATGAAATTGACCATTTCAAATCATTTTAAAAAATTAAAATAAAATTTTGATATGATGTATCTAAATTACATTTCAATCAATATATCAAGCACCAAACTTATTACATGAAAGAACATGTAATTTGACTGCACATAGAGCCAAAACTCTTATACAGTTGCGCCTGGGCATGGTGCGGCATTCCTTCTCCAGTTCGTCATAAAATAGAATATATGGCTAATACCTTCGTGTAGAGAGCACATTTTGAAACTCGACTCGTGTTTTTTTTTTTTAACAGAACGAGATTGAAATACCCAAATTTGTTGATAAATAGAGTCATAGATATAGGACTCCCTTTAATCATTCAACAAAACAAAGGAAAAAACTCTATAATGGTAACATCGAACTTCTTTCTTGTTAACATATTCGTCTTAGGTCTACTCTCACATGTTTTGCTTTAGGGTGTATATTATAGTGAAGTCTTTCATTTTTTGACTACTTCATACTGAACACAATTAACTAGAATTCTTACAAGTAATTATCCATTTCATTTCATGACAAAACACGTCTTTTTAGTTAAGTTTGATGTTCTTTACCAATCATAGATATCTCCCGCATGTGTAATCTAGTTAACTACATGGCTCATTATTAAAAAAACACAGAGATTTTTGTAACCTCTATTTTTCATTTCTAATCTGAATTAAACTAATTTTCAGTCACTTTATCTATTTAAGTTGAGAAATACGCACTTCCTTTTTTTCCCTCGACTGTAAAATACTAAATACACTTACTGTCTAAATGAGGCCATCAAAATTGCAACGGGAATTACCCCAAAGACAACAATAATCATAGCTCACACAGATTTCCGCTTCTTGTGGTTATGATTGCCATCAGTGCTTCGGCCTCCTCTTTTCATACCACCTTTTCGAGCTCCCTTCCTTCCTCCCTAACCAATTCAGTTTTCAGACAACCCCATTTAGACAACTTTCTCACAAAAGCCTCCCTACAGAATCTAAATCACAGGTAACAAGAAGAAGAAAAACAATCTCACCTCTGCAGAGAATGACTTGAGAGGGTCTCCCCCTCCTTTTTTCAGCTTTCTTTTGAACCCCTGACGTCGAGAAGGATTATTCCCCATCGCGGCTCTAGCAAGCTTCACCATCTTACTGGCTTCCTTCGTGGTGGCATCGATCAAGTAATCAGGCACCTTGCGCAGATGAGGAGCAGGTGGCTTCTGGCTCAAAATCCTGTCGTGTTTTAGTAAATCTGTTGAAGATATCACAGACATCAGCGCCTCTGAAATCTGGATGAAAAAAAAAAGGGTAAATACAATATATTAGCCACAACTATTATGAAGCGGGGAATTATAGCCACAACTATTGAAATTCAAATTATTAGCCAAACGTTAACTATCTGTTAACAATTTCATTAGTAATACTGACTAAACTTTTATGTTTTGAAGTTATAACCTAAAAGCATTCCTACGTGGCCGCTGTCGTGGCCGATGACGTGGCCTTCTCCGTAAAAAATTCAATAACAGTAACAGACAGTTAGCCATATCTTGACCTGCAACAATAGTTATGGCTAATAATTTGAATTTTCATAGTTGTGGCTATAATTCCCCGCTTCATAATAATTGTGGCTAATATATTGTATTAACAAAAAAAAAACATTGAAAAAAGCAATCTACTTTTGCATTACCTAAGTCCCTTGGATTAGCTTCAAAATGAGACTTCAACCTACAACAGAGACGTCCATCAGCAACTCATAAGAACCTCAGATACCAAACTATGTGGAAAGAATACAGGGATACCTTATGCCATACTGAAGAATTAAAAGAGACAAAACTAATGCTTACTTTTCTGAGTTTAGAATTTCATTCCTCAGATCCTGTGCCCGAGCTTCTCGGACAGCAACTCTTGTAACACTCTTCGCTGTGTCCTGCAACATACATTTCCATGCTGTCAGCTGTATTTGGGGGAATCAAATTACTGTCCTTGCTTCTTGAGCAAAATATTTTGTTGGTTCTTTTGGAAAGATAAGAGGGGCCAAGTCTTGATTACAGACGGGGAATTATGACTGGTGCCAGAAAGATAACGATTTTGAAAATCAGAAATGGCACGCTTTCAGATTTGAGGGAATCAAACAATTAATTTACCAAGAGCATCAAGGACAATCGTTTACCTCAGCCCTATACCGTAATGACTCAACAGCGCTCTTAGTCAGCAAAGGGAATGGAGAGATGACATCCGAATTCTGATCTTCCTCATTGCCCAACAAAGATTTTACTTCTTCAAGAATGTCCATCTCATCTGGAGAAACCTGTAAGCATCCACATATCAATTAAATCAGAAAGAATCTCTGTCGGAACAAAATTATAAGGCAACATTTGGTTCTCAGTATGTAATATTGTGAACAGTCCGAGATGCGAAGAGCAGGTTAATGATCCAGAGGCACAACAACAACATCACACAGTAGCAAGAGTTGTATTGACATCAAAACCATGCCAACTTGATAAAACTGTGCTGCCATACTTGATAAAACTGTGGTGCAATGGCAGCCTTACTAGCATTGGTGTAGCATTGATCAGCATTGGTGTAGCAATGATCAGTATTGGTGAAACTGTACCGTACTGGCTGGTTGTGCCAGTTCAACCACATAGGTAGTGACTTAGGGTGTTTAACTCTTTATTTTAATTTACTTTTTTGTTTGTTTACGGACTTTGTAAATTATTACTTCTTTAGGAAGTCAAACAACTTTATCTTATGGGAACTCACGAGAGAAACAGAAACACCAGTGTTGTATGCTCTTCCAGTCCGTCCAATTCGATGGACATATCCAACAGCAGAACCAGGCATATCATAATTTATGACCTGCAATGGCCAAATCTTAAGACATTATAAAGAAAAACGGAGAGAAAATGTATGATAGCAAAAGCATGAACCAAAAGTTATCAAGTATTAGGTAAATTAACCACAAAAGTGAAAATCATTCAATAGACTTTCATAACTACAATACAATCAACCACCATTTTCCATTACAATCCAAATCCTTCAAGATAATAAGGAAAGGGCTCCATAACAAAAGAAGGCATTCCACAGACATAACACCCGCAAAATCCAGAGAAAACAGATGAAAGAGTTCCCATCACATATTTCCCAAGCTTTTTTAAAACTAGCTGATAAAAGCTCAAACTGAATATATTATGCTCCCAACAAAACAACAAAAAAGAACAAGATCTTGATTCAAACTGAATAAACAAGTTCATATGCGCCAACATTTTGATTTTTATTTATAAAAAACATTGATCTTCTATTTTAAATTAAATCAACAAATCAAGTAAGCTGTCAACCAGCACATACTAAAACCTAACTTTGAAATGGCAGAATCGAGGACTCAAAACAATTGAATCTAAGATGACATATTCGGTGTAGGCAGTTCTACAATAACCATTGGACATACCGTGAATACGTTTTTGAAGTCAATTCCCCTCACAACCCCGAATTCTGAGTCCAGTTTCTGCTTTGGGTACTTTTTAGACCTTTTGGTATTCACATTACTACCTTTGTTAGCAAGTTGCTCATCTTTTACCTCACTCTCATCCCCATCAATCAGATAGTCGAAAAGCCCAGCATTAAATTCCTGAAAAGAGAACAATACATAGCCAGTTGAGAAACCTCAGAAACTGCAAAAAACAGTAATTAATTCATGTATCAGATATGAAGATCAATAAACCATCCCATTGATTCGTCGATTACAAGGGATTTTGGCATAAGTCCAGCACAAAACATCTGCCGACAGCACCTACCTCAAGGATATGGAGACGAGAATTTTGCGGCAACTCTGAATTTAAAACAGCAGATTTGATTCCAAACTGCAAATGAAGCTTGTGCATCAGCAACGCAACAGAAATACAAAAGGTGGAGGAGGGGGGATACACTTCAGAGGGAAAGCGATATGTAATGGATTCCATCATACCATACAAATATTAAGAGTACCTTTTCAAGGAAAAGTTTCAATCTGAAACTCATATCAATAGAATTGGTAAATATAATAACTTTTTTCTGTATGAGCTCCAGCTTCAATAGGGCAAGAATATGAACTAGCTTGTCTTGATCACTGGTCGAAATCTGAAAGCAATATGAAGCATATGTCTCAGTAGGAGAAAACTCGAAGCATAACTGACAGTTCACAGAAAAAAGTACACTCAAACATGATTTATCATACATATAGATTTAGGCAGTCCATTGACATAAAGTTGACCGACATTGTTTAATTGAAAAGAACAATAATTCATTACCCAAAATTGTTGAACATTTTTGGGAATGACTTCATCCTTCACGCCATCAACTTCTGGCAAAGTCAAGATATATGGATTGTGTAGGATAAGCTTCTTGAGTTTATCAACATCATCACTGTCAAATAGCAGATAATTATCAACATCATATATGAGATTTAAACATCAATGACCACCAAATTCGACATGTGAGGGATATTCAGTGTACAGAAGTTAGCAAAAGACTGTTCCCCAAGTTTATCCTGGACAGCAGTATTGTACAAACCAGAACAAATCACAGGGTGTTCATCGTCAGCCATGGTAATGATCAAACAAAAAACATATAAAACAGACCTTGATGTGGCAGACATAAGAAGGCATTGACAACGCCTAGGAAGAAGAGCGGTAAGAGCTTTTAGGTCCTCTTCAAAGCCAAAAGATAATAACAGATCTGCCTGAAGTAATTACAAATCAATGCTTACCAGTAAAAAAGTGGACAAGGATATCTAATGGTACTTCAGTAACCGAAGGAAAAATACCAAAAGTGACAATTATGATCATTAGGAAGTGCTTAGAACTTCTCAAAAGAATAAGCAAAACTCAACCCAAATTCGTTAATCCCCTTTTTACTGAACCACATTTATAGATACAAAAATCACAAAACAATTGCAAATGGCCTTTTACTTTCAGGCCATCAAACAATTTATAGCAAACTAAAATCGAAGCATGGAGAAGACTCACCTCATCCAGAACAAGTATTTCCAGAGAATCGGCAACTGATGTCGATTGAAGTACACCAGTTGACAAGCACTTGGCAACACAAGCAGGAGTTGAGATCAGAATATCAGGAGGTCCAGACAATGCAGCACACTGCAAGGAATTAAAAGATAAGTAGCTGCACACGCTTAAGCATGGAATAAAAAGTCACGGAACCAACAAAGACAGTCCAAACGAGATATAGTTCTTTCCTCTAAAGTAGCATCAGTTTTCTTACAAACTAGAAAGAGGAGCGGCAACTAACCATATCAGATATAGGCATGTTGCTTCTCAACTGCACAGCCTTCAAATGCACTTTACACAAGTCTATGAGTGAAGATATCTCCTTATAAACCTATTAATCACAGAAAACTAGTCATCATCCAGTTGGAGGGGGAAAAAACCAAAAAGCAACCAAGCATTTTTAGATCTTTGCCTGCTGACACAACTCCCCACTTGGGACAAGAATGAAGGCAGAAGGAGCATTCTTTTGCTTCAATCCAGAATCAGCAAACAGCTTATGAAGCAAGGGCAGTAGGTATGCTAGCGTCTTTCCAGAACCAGTCTTTGCTCGTGCAACCACATCCTTTCCTTCCTACGACCACCAATAACAACAAGTGGGAGAATATCAGAACACCAAAATCAATCCTCTGGTTCAGACCAATGTTACAAAAGAAAATATAGAAATTAAAATCAAACAGTACAGAAACAGCAGTGTCCTTTAGCCACAACATGGTAACAAAACAAAGTAAACTGGCAATGAAAAGTATATTTCAAATGCCGATCAAACAAAGCATAGAATTGACATCCGATTACGAATCTTTTTCGATGGATGTACTTGTAACTGTAGCAGGAAATTAAAGCTGGCCATTATCACTTTCAAAAAAAAAGCAAAGCTCATTCTTCTCTTCAAACTAGCTGTTCGAATACAACGATGAATTTTCAGTATTCGTAGGCAATAGTAAGTTTCCAACTTCTTCACTAAGGAGCTCAACTCATCAACTGAGAGCTGAGAAGGCTTTAAACTTTAAAGGTGAAAATGGCTTGCTTCTCCAAACCAAAGGGCCAAATTAAAGTAGCAAAAACCACTGAACCTTGATGAACCAGAAACCACCCCTAGTCTTAAAGCATGAAGCCAGCAAGAATGGAAGAGAAACTAACCAGTATGAGAGGAATAGCAACGCGTTGAATTGGCGTTGGCTTTGAGACACTAATATCCTTCTTGCTAAGAGCTCGAATCAACCGAGGGTCCAGCCCCAGCTCGTCAAAGCTCTTTTCTTCGTCTTCCACTTCGCTGCTGCCGCCGTCGTCGTTCTCTTCTTCCAGTTCATCTTTCACTTCGTTCTCGTCCTCAGCCTCCTGCGGCGGCTGTACTGTTCGTCGTCCTTCTTCGTCCATAGGTTCCTCTTTGATTTCGATTAATTGATTCGCTTGTTTTGCAGGTTTATCTTTAGGTTTCCGCATTGCTGGTTCCAGAGAAAATCAAGAGGTTTTGGGGCCTGGGGGTTTTGTTTGGCGGGTTTAGTGTTTGAAGAAACGTTTTAGGGTTTTGACTTTTTGAAGTTTTGAAGTTGACGACTTGACGTAAATTGGTGCAGATGTTTGTCGTGTTAAATGCACCTGTTAATTTCAATAGAATGGCACTATTAGCCGTTATGAATTATAACACATGGAGAAGTGAAACTGACTTTCTTTCGCTCGTGGACTAGCTAACACACATCGTGTTAGTGAACCACGTAAATCGTGTGTCTGTATTTTTTTATTCTCACTTTCGTATTCTTGCTTTATCGATTCCGGGGATTTCTCGATCCTTACCAGCGCGTTTATAACAGCACCAAATACCATTTGAGTTATAATTTAGTTATATGTTGACCACTGAATTGTTTTTTGTCGCAACTAAAACCAAACCACTTACATCTAACTTTTGATGTACCGTTAGCTTTTCCATCCCAAAACTTAACGGTAGATATGAAATAATAATTTTCCTTGCCATTCAAGTTATCCAACTCAGCCTAAGTTGTTGAGTCACAATAAACAAATTTTAAATAACAACTAAAAAAGATAACTCATTGCACAAAGAGAAAAAATTGTGACTCCGCTATTGTTGATGTCATTTTATCGACTTTGCTCTCTTTCAATCCAATTCTGATATAGCTATGCTTCGCTGCACAAATTCTAACTCGTCTCTCTCTGCAATCACTTCATGCCTAGCATCGGAGAAGTTGTCTCCTCCAGTTTCTTTTGCTTTATTGTACAAACTCGTATACGAAGCCTACAGGTTAGGTGCATGTGGAATCATCCCCAACTTAAGCTATCTATTCTAATGCATAGCAAGAAAAATAATTTTTCAACCTCTGTGAGTTTGACATTCGTTGTGAGTCCGTGCAGATCATTCACAAACTCTCTGTTGCCCCCAATAAGTCATCCAAGACATCTACTCCAATCAAAGCCACATCTTCAATTTAAAAATTCATCCCCCTCCGCCATTGCAGACGACCCTAACTTCGACTCCTACTATTGCTAGTCCGTCGAATCAAACACCCTTCATGCCCACGTCTACTTCTATGGTTGCAACACTTTCTCGTTCCACATCTCCGATCGAGCATATGACTTATGAGATTCACGTTGTAGTTCGTTGGCCGGTTGAAATAGAAATAACTAAGCGTTTTCTTATGATGTTTCCACCTATCGAGGATTTTTATTAGAACAAACAATCATGAAGTTTATGGGTGTTGCTATTCAATATATGTTTATAATTAGCGGAACAAGGGACTTTGGCAATGACCATTTCTTCTGCAATGATTTGCATCCTTTCTTGGAAAAAATCCCAAAGTACACTAGTTTTTAAAAAAAATTCCCAAAATACATAAGTTATAAAAAAATTTCCAAAAGTACACATGTTTGGGCATCACCGTGTTTGACAAAAGCGGTGAAGTTTATCACCGCGTTTGTCAAAGACGGTGAATACTTCACCGTTTAAGACCAAAACGGTGACGTATTCACCGCATTTATCTAAAACGGTGATGTATTCACCGCGTTTGTTGAAGACGGTGAATACATCACCGTTTATGTTGACAACGGTGATTACCTTCACCGTTTTAGGTTAAAGCGGTGATATATTCCCACGTTTCCCACCCCTGGTAGGTCAAAATTAGGTCACACCTACCTATTATTCACCGTTTGAGACAAACGCGGTGATGGTGTTCACCGTTTTTGACAAACACGGTGAATAATAGGCAGATTTTCCTATAAATACCAACCCACCAGCAGAAGCAAAAACATAACCACTCCCCCCTTCTTCAAATTTCAGCAACAAAAATCGAGCATAATACACAGAACAGACATTTTTCGGTATGTTGAGACTTTTCGTATTATTGTCTAATTATGTTTTTAGTAGTTATAGTATGATTAAATTTTCGTATTATGTTGTTGTTAGTTAGTTGAATTTATGTTCGTTAGTTATAGTATGATTTAATTTTCGTATTATGTTGTTGTTAGTTAGTTGAATTTATTTTCGTTAGTTATGAGATGGACAATATTAGTTGTACAATATGATTTTGGTTAATTTTACTGTCTTTAAGCTAATATATACTTATCCTCGATTTGTAGATATGGGTAAATTCAAGAAGTTTCATCTTACTATTCGGTGGAATGGAAGGGTGACAAACTCTAACATAGGCATTGATTATGAGGACGGCGCAACATTCCCAAACCGGTCCTCGCTATGTAGGGCTCCAACCTTGGATGCCAAGCGGGCAAGTTATTGGTCCCTTTATGAACCACGGGAACAAGCGATTCCTAAAACAAATAGGAAAAATAACAATTTATTAGATTAAATAAAGCAAAATAAAACCATAGAAAATAATAAAATAAAGCAAGAATACTCAAAAAATTACCGGATAGTTATCCCAAATAGCACGGGAGCGATGAGCTTCTTGATCGGTTAAGAGACTCGCATCCCTTGGGCCATAATGGATATACAATCGAGGATCGTATATCTCGGCACCCATCTATAAAAAAGTAATGAAATCAGAGATTGTTTTGATAAAAAAACAAAAAATCAAATTGTTTCGATTAAAAAAATTCATAAACCAAAAACCTACACGAAGAGCCTCTTCGTCCATTTTTTGGCGTAGGCCGGACAGAGGTTCGACGATTTTAGGTTTGTAAGGGACGGGGGCTTTAGGGTCAAACTCTAGTAATTCTTTCTGATGTGGAAGATCGGACTTAGCCGCAACCACAGAGCATACTTAGAACGAGACTAGAGCGGATAAATTGAGGGAGAAAGAAGTGAAATGTTTGTGGGGTGAGTTGAAAGTGAAAGGGGAAGGGGGTATTTATAGTTGGGGGAAGGGGGGAGGCGCCTGCGCAGCATTCAATTGAAGCGCCTTCACCGCGTTAGTCAAACGCGGTGAACTCACCGCTGTCAACAAACGCGGTGTATGTCTAGGGGACGTGGCGTGTTGTGAGGCGTCGGATCGTGGGAAGAAAACCACGATCCGCGCCTCACCGCATCCAACGGCCACGGTGAAAGCAAATTGGCCCGGATCGCTGACGTAAACAAACACGGGGTATTCACCGTGTTTGTCTAACGCGGTGAATACCCCGCGTTTGTCCACGTCAGCTCCTTCACCGCGTTTAATAAAAACGGTGAAGTCTTCACCGTTTCAGTTTAAAACGGTGAAGCCTTCACCGTTTTTATTAAACGCGGTGAAGGCATCACCGTTTTTATTTAAAACGGTGAAATGTTCACCGTTTTTATCAAACGCGGTGATTACCTTCACTGCGTTTGTCAAAAACGGTGAATGCCAAACATGTGTACTTTGGGAATTTTTTTTATAACTTAGGTATTTTGGGAATTTTTTTTAAGAACGTGTGTACAGTGGGATTTTTTCCTCCTTTCTTCTAGTCTCAAAGTTCGGATATTTTCAAATGGGTATGATATTCAATATTTTCACCTCTAGTTTAGGAATGGAGCAAAACGAAAGAATTTGCATTTTTTTTTACTTGTTTATTTAGTTTGACCCTTGATAAAAGTGGGTCAAAGTATTTATTCAAACACATGACTCAACAACTCAGCCTGAGTTGGATTGCCCTCGTGGCTTGAAAAATTACCATTTCATATTGTCGTTAAGTTTTGGGATGAAAAAGTTAATGGTGCAACAAAAAATAAATTTAGGTGGTTTAGTTGCAACCAAAACAATTTAAATCCTCAACATGCAACGGAATTAAAACATAGGTGGAATCCAGTGTGCAATTAACCCGATGTTTGTCATAGGGAAGAAGAAGACGAGCCGGATGGATCAAATTATTGAGCTGGGCGAGGTTGTTATTAAGTACATTTCGGGCTAGATCCGAAAAGGTTGACCCATTTAACAGCATGTGGGCTGCTAAGGTGCGAAAACCGGATTTGTATCTAGACTGGGCTTCGTATAATTTCTGTCCAGGGTCGTCAAACATCAACTACAAAGATCAACACCTATGTACTACATAAAAAATAAAATACTATTTATTAGCCAATCCTTTCAAACTTTCTAAATTATTAGCCAAATATTTTAAAATACAAAATATTAACCAAATATGATGTAATTCATCAAAATATTAGCCATTTATTTGTCATTGTTAGTAAATTTGTAACTCTTTTCTAAGTTAAAATACTAAAAATTTAGAATGTTGGCATTCACGTGTCTCTTCCAAGTCATGTAGCCAGGCCAATATTACTGACAAAACTGCTAACAGAAAGTTAGCATTTGGCTAATATTTTGTATTATGAAAGGTTTGATTAATAAATTGTATTTACCCTAAAAAAATTGAAATACAACAAAATTACTTGTTTATCGAAGTAAGAAAAAATAACAACCAAATCCCTGAAGCGAATGGAAGTTCGATGTGCTTGCGAGATTCGCAATAATGTTGTCGGTCGTTTCCTCGATGCTGAAATATTGGGTTCCACGATTTCGTTCACGATCATTGATATCCAAGAATTCGTGGGTATCCCCCACGCAAGTTCATCCCCTTATTGTCAAATTGATTTCAACTTTAAGGGGTAGGTTTCAAAGTTTCTAAATACAACCGTTTCTTTTCTATGGTCGCATGTTTCACTTACTACTGCTCTGTCTCTGTTCTTTTTGTCCCATCTTCTTCTATTGGGTTTTCAAGAGATCGATTCAACGTCTTGTGACGACAATGGACCCCATGGAAATCGATTAGGTTGTGATTTTCCATGAGGAGATCGGGATGTTCAAACGCACTTGTGTCTAGTGGGAAGACTATTCACACACATCCTCTGTCTAGAATGATGGTGGATATGATTGCTAATGGGATGTGGGGGAATTCGTCCCCAATCATTGTGCACAAAGCATGTAGGGCTTATGATCCTTCATTATTGATGATGCAAATGTACAATGGACAGTTAACGATTTTTTTTTATTGCACTTGAAGCCAAGACAAACATTAAAAAATGGTCGATGCGTGATCTCTCCCGATTCCTTTGTGATTCTCCAGTCTTAGTTTTGGGAGGAGGCTGGCTGATCATGTGGATGAAGGAGTAGAGGTCCAAGAAAATGGGCTTTATGTTG